ACAACAGGTTCTACAGAGGAGATGAATTGTTCGACAACAGGTTCTACAGAGGAGATGGAAAAGGAATCATAATCGATGTACATTGTAGGGATGGTTTCGGTACAAGTTTGTGGCTGTATCACGAAATAGATGGCACCCTGACGTCTGTAAGGTGCAGAGAGATTTTGATTCATCATGCCATTCCCTCAGGAACACGATACAATGTGCGGATACATATTTTCCAGCAGGAAAGTCAGTGATAGTGGGGAAATATCTTCCAGCAGAACATTCAGTGATCCCAAATACACAACAAATGTGGTCAAATGATATCTCAATCATAGCTTGATCAACACAAAGTCCTGATATGAACATATCTTGAGGTTGTGTGGGCTTGTTTAAGAACTGAAAATGTTAAAAGGAAACTGAAAAACTTGGCTGAATTGTGAGAAGTATTAATTAACAGTTGGAACGATTATCCACGATCGAACATTGATAAACTGCATGGAAACAAAATGTTGTGTTCTGTGTAAAGCAAAGTGTTTACACACTAGTACACGTGTAGTGTTGCTTTACACAGAAAGTGTTTACACACTAGTACACGAGTATTGTTCTGTGTAAAGCAAAGTGTTCACACACTAGTACACGAGTATTGTTGCTTTACACAGAAAGTGTTCACACACTAGTACACGTGTAGTGTTCTGTGTAAGGCGAAGTGTTCACACACTAGTACACGTGTATTGTTCTGTGTAAAGCAAAATGTTCACACACTAGTACACGTGTAGTGTTCTGTGTAAAGCAAAGTGTTCACACACTAGTACACGTGTAGTGTTCTGTGTAAAGCAAAGTATTCACACACTAGTACACGTGTAGTGTTCTGTGTAAAGCAAAGTGTTCACACACTTGTACACGAGTATTGTTCTGTGTAAAGCAAAGTGTTCACACACTAGTACACGAGTATTGTTCTGTGTAAAGCAAAGTGTTCACACACTAGTACACGTGTAGTGTTCTGTGTAAAGCAAAGCGTTCACACACTAGTACATGTGTAGTGTTCTGTGTAAAGCAAAGTGTTCACACACTAGTATATGTGTAATGTTCTGTGTAAAGCAAAGTGTTCACACATTAGCACACGCTTAGTGTTCTGTGTAAAGCAAAGTGTTTACACACTAGTACATGTGTAGTGTTCTGTGTAAAGCAAAGTGTTCACACACTAGTACACGTGTATTGTTCTGTGTAAAGCAAAATGTTCACACACTAGTACACGTGTAGTGTTCTGTGTAAAGCAAAGTGTTTACACACTAGTACACGTGTATTGTTCTGTGTAAAGCAAAATGTTCACACACTAGTACACGAGTATTGTTCTGTGTAAAGCAAAGTGTTCACACACTAGTACACGTGTATTGTTCTGTGTAAAGCAAAGTGTTCTCTGATAATGTTTTCTTCCATTAGCATATTAACCATGCAACTTTCATTACTCATTGTTTAATTGTATCGATTGTGTGTTTCCATAGTTAATTCCATTTCTGTACTATTTCTTGAAGCATACACGTTTATTTCTTTTCATCACAGCTCAACCGCCTATTCTGACGTCACACTTCCACGACCATGTTGTCAATCCAGGTTCCCAGGTTTCCTTGACATGCGCAGCTATGGGAAACCCTCTACCCCAAATAACATGGTCTACCTATGACGAGCCAGTACAAGATAGTAACAGAGTTCGGGTTGGTGACTACGTTAGCAGAGATGGCGCTGTCATAAGTTTTGTAAACTTTACACGAATAGAGGCCTTGGATGGAGGGATATATCGGTGCACTGCAAAAAACGACAATGGAGTTGAAGTTCATGAAGCGCAAATAAATGTCATCGGTTCTCCCGTGATCCGTCCAATGAAGAACAAGACAGTAGTTGGAGGAACCAATGTGGTGATTAACTGTCCTGTTGGAGGATATCCTGTGAAACACATCACTTGGGAAAGAGGTATCTGTGCTTACATATAATATCTGTTTATTGATTTAAACAATATATGTAATGTCCGTTTATTGATTCAAACAATATATGTAATGTCTGTTTATTGATACAACTACCTACATACAATGTCTGTTTATTGCTACAACCACCTATATACAATGTCTGTTTATTGCTACAACCACCTACATACAATGTCTGTTTATTGCTACAACCACCTACATACAATGTCTGTTTATTGATACAACCACCTATATACAATATCTGTTGGTTGAAACAACCACCTATATATAATGTCTGTTTATTGATTTAAACAATATATGTAATGTCTGTTTATTGGTACAACTACCTATATACAATATCTGTTGGTTGAAACAACCACCTATATACAGTGTTTGTTTATTGATACAACCACCTATATACAATGTCTGTTTATTGATACAACCACCTATATACAGTGTCTGTGTATTGATACAACCACCTACATACAATGTCTGTTTATTGATACAACCACCTATATACAATGTCTGTTTATTGATACAACCACCTATATACAATGTCTGTTTATTGATACAACCACCTATATACAATGTCTGTGTATTGATACAACCACCTATATACAATGTCTGTTTATTGATACAACCACCTATATACTGTTTCATTGTGAAATCTGGAAGATCATATTCTTAGTAATAACTTAACATTTTATTCTGTTTTGTGAAATTTAAATATCTGTTAGCCGAAATTTGCTTTAAAAAAAGAAGTAGTCAAAGTACACATAACAATTACATTAGGAAGTCGTCCAGAACATCAACTAACAGTGGCTTTAAAGAAAGAAGTAGTCAAAGTACACATAACAATTACATTAGGAAGTCGTCCAGAACATCAACTAACAGTGGCTTTAAAGAAAGAAGTAGTCAAAGTACACATAACAATTACATTAGGAAGTCGTCCAGAAGATCAACTAAAAGTGGCTTTAAAGAAAGAAGTAGTCAAAGTACACATAACAATTACATTAAGAAGTCGTCCAGAAGATCAACTAACAGTGGCTTTAAAGAAAGAAGTAGTCAAAGTACACATAACAATTACATTAGGAAGTCGTCCAGAACATCAACTAACAGTGGCTTTAAAGAAAGAAGTAGTCAAAGTACACATAACAATTACATTAGGAAGTCGTCCAGAAGATCAACTATCAGTGCTTGAATCGAAATTTCTCAGCTGATAATATGAGCTATGTTTTCATATTGCTATTCTAATTCCTGTCTAAAATTTGTCACTAGTTTAAATCACTTTATTAACATGCACAGAATAATAGCTACAACCTACATTAAATCTGACAACAAAGCTTAACCGTGCTCTGTGTTACTAAAAGTGTTAAGACAGCACGCCCCCAGTTAATATGTTACTAAAAGTGTTAAGACAGCACGCCCCCTGTTAACTGGACTGTCTCCACTGTGCTTCCCATGGTGCACTACTTCATAGGGTTCGAAAAGGTCAAGAGTCTGCCTTTTGGGTTCAAGGTGTCACAAGAAAGGGAATTCATGGATTTCTGAGATGAGCAGTTATTGGTTAGAATATTGGTGTATGAGTTTGTTTGTAATTAAGCACAAAGCTACACAATGGGCTATCTGTGCTCTGCCCACCACGGGTATCGAAACCCGGATTATAGCGTTGTAAGTCCGCAGACATGCCGCCGTGTATGAGTATCTGTGGCATTTCAAACCGTCTACCTGTGTACTGTGTAAATATTGAGGTTGTAACACGGTAACACATTAACAAATTTGTTTATATCAATACATTTGTATTCAGGTGATATTTTAAAACTTTAGAACAGGTTATTCATGTTTACCTCTAGACAAACAAGACAAAATCTCTTATGAACAACGCTTAATCCCTCCAGTAGGCAGTCATTTGTGTTTAGGACTAATTCAGTTCCTTCTGATTATGAGGCCAACATACTAGATAATTCCTTAATGATATTTTAATTATGTTTGGTACGCTCGATATATGCAGATAAAGATGTGCCTAACTTCTGATTCGTTTGGTTCACATGGAACTATGCACGTTCTGCATGTAAAGTCTCGAATCTCGTGTAAATGAATTTTTGATAGTAAATCTGTTGATTCAAGTTAAGTTCAAAATAACAAATTTAAGTCAAATTTCTTGGCAAGTAATGTGCTGAATAAATAGAAAGATTCTAAGGTAATATAGAACATCGATAAATATGCCAGAATTAATCACTCTGTTTGATGCACACTTTGAAATATCTTGTGAACTATAGGTTGCCACAAACTAGAAGCTGTTCATCACAGTGTCCAATCTTCAGCTCTGTAAGATGTTCATCACTACCATGAATGTCCAATCTTCAGCTGTGTAAGCTGTTCATCACTACCATGAATGTCCAATCTTCAGCTATGTAAGCTGTTCATCACTACCATGAATGTCCAATCTTCAGCTATGTAAGCTGTTCATCACTACCATGAATGTCCAATCTTCAGCTCTAGAAGCTGAACATCACAGTTGTTAGTGTCTAATCTTCAGCACTAAAAGCTGAACATCGCTAACATGAATGTCCAATCTTTAGCTCTAGAAACTGAACATCACTAGCATGAATGTCCAATCTTCAGCTCTAGAAGCTCAACATCACAGTTGTTAGTGTCTAAGCTTCAGCACTGAAAGCTGAACACCACTAACATGAATGTCCAATCTTCAACTCTGTAAGCTGTTCATCACTACCATGAATGTCCAATCTTTAGCTCTAGAAACTGAACATCACTAGCATGAATGTCCAATCTTCAGCTCTAGAAGCTCAACATCACAGTTGTTA